TTACTCCAAAATGTTAGTTTATGCATATATATGTATAGTTTATATAGTTTTAACAAGTTTGTCTTACACTTAGAACTTTCTCGCGCAAATATTGACGAACCTTTTCAATTTCAGCTATCAGCACATTCTTGCGAGGGGCCTCACAACCGGTATTCTATTAAAATAAAACCAATATTTCTACTACATATAAAATAATTAAACTGTTATAAAGTAGTACCTAGGTACTTATAATTTTCTACATATATTTATGTTTTAATTATAAATAGTATCTACTATTCCTACTCTTGTAATAGAAAATGTAAACAGAAAAGTAACATAAACCAATAAAATAAAATTAATTAACTTTAATTTAAGCATTATGGTAATTGGTAATTATTTGAAATTTAGCAAGCATTACAATTAATCTACGAATATGTAAGGCCTCAAAATTAATAGTACCTAACAGAACAACTTGACACCTAATAATGGTAATAGAAACTTTATTTATTTTAACTATTTTAACTAGACAAACTCAATACAACTTTATTATATGTAAAGTACTTGATATTTGCAGGGTTTTTTTATCAAGAATATTATTATAATAATGTTAGTGATTAGTTATTATTATATAATATAGGTATTAGGTATAAGCTGTGACTATTATTTAGATTTTAAATAGGTATTATTTTTTTTTATTATCAAGTTAACCCAAAAAAATATACTTATTATATAACCTTTTAAAACAACTACACTATTTGGGTCAAATATTAAAATAATTCACTTTAGTTCATTATCAAATATACTATATAATATCTTTTATTACTAATTTCTAACTACACAATTATGTATGTTAAAGTATTTAAATTTTATATATTTATTACTTGACAGATTTAAATTGAACAAGCAATTTATGCACTTTAAAAAGACAAGTTTCAGAATTTCTTTGACAGTTAAAGAAACATTTTTGTTTTTCAAATTATTTTTCTTTAGATCTAATAACATAATATAACATTTTTAAAAAAAATATTTTGCTAGTACACCTGTGTAAAAAGTGTTTGTGTATCTATTCCAGTTCCTTTAGTTATAGAGAAGGAATGTACTTTTTGGGAATGTGGAGTCCTCAGAAACAAAATAATTAAAGAAAACAATCCAATAGGTACTCAAAATAATATTGGTTATGTATAGCATACTGTTTATTAAAAACAATGTAATATAATAATTACATTTGTACAACAGATTATTTTTAAACTAAATTGTATAAGTACATTTATGAATGTTTAATTTAAAATCATTTTAACAATGTTATAAACCCACCTGAATGACCACTAAACAGAGTGTAACAGAAAGACCTGAGAGATGAAATAACTTTTTTTCTAATCAATATTTTAAAACTTTTTATTATTATTTAGTCACTTGACATACAAGTTTAATATACATTTTATTTTTATTTTTAATACTGAAAATAAAAATTTTAAACAGCCAAATTACAAATCTGATTATAAGAACAATTTTTATGGTAGAAATATTTATCTAAGTCAAGAGGTTTTTTTTTTAGAATTTTTTGAAAAATCAATATATTTCTGAGTAAATTAATTTAGAATGTAATAACTCTTTTCAAAATATTATTTTTGGGAATTTCAAAAAAATCTTTAAAAATAATAATAGCCACAGCTTTTATCATTCATATAAAAATGCCCATGTTTTGTTTTTTTTTATGGGAGAACTTTTTGTTAATTAATATTATAAATAGACACCAGAGTTATATTCATTAAAAACTAAAAAGGTGCTAAATATGATGCAAACAAGCTGAGTAAAAAATTACAAAATATGCACAAAAACGTAAAAGTATGGACTTGGGTATAAGCATTAAAAATATGTACTAAATTTAAAAATAAAAAATGATTTAACAATTATTTTATATATCTATGCAGTATGTATTTGTTTTGATGCAATATACAAAATAGATAATATTAGACTGTCTGTATATCATCAGGAGCTCGGATAAATAATAAGGCACAGGGCGCCTAATTTATTAATAATAAGTGATTTGTACTTGTGATTTATAATTGTTTACAGGTATAGCAAAATAAATCATTACTTTAAATTTGCTTCATTTGTTTGAGACAAGAATCAAGGATAGTCATAAACATACAAAATAAAAATAAGTTTACAGACTTCTAGTAGACAGTAAATATTAGGATAAGATATTTAATCCCTAGGTGCTAGTGTAAGACATTTGGAACTTCAGTATTTTTCTTAAATTCTCCAGGAAAATGAAGTAATAAATTAAAGTTTGGAAATCAATTCAATACAAGTTAACTATTTCTTGGTCATTAGAGCAAAGCTGCGTGCAGTCCTGAATTTTAGGGGGTCCCTACAATATTTTTGGGCTCTCTTTTAACAAGACATGTACATATTTATCAGTGTTATATAATTACTAGTACCAAGTTATATATTCCTTTAGATCTAATATCTATTTCAAAGATAATTTCAATGTTTATTTATTTGTACTTTTGTAGTCAATAACATCTACCTGTAATAATCATAATAAGTTATCCCACGAACATTTTTAAATATTTTACATTTTATTTTTTACAAAATATTTCAGAAAAAAATACATTATATTCCAGTAACATCAATTAAAATACAGCCCCATATGATTTGGGACTTAAATTGTAGTGCACTAATTACAAAATGCCCCCCCTTCATTTTATGCTTATGCATTAGATTATTTTTTATTTTACAAATTCTTAAAATACATGCAATGTACATTATTTTATGATATTTAATATTCTATTTAAAAATATGTACATACTATACAGATTACAGAGTAATAGTATGGAGTGTTAAAATAAAATTATTCATTTATAACAATTGTTTAAATTATGAATAAAAAAAATCCAAATAGGAATCTGGTGGGTGTGTATTCACAAAAGCCTATGTAGTAGATCACTTACTACTGATAAGTGACAGAAAAAAATACATTATATTCCAGTAACATCAATTAAAATACAGCCCCATATGATTTGGGACTACTATTTTGAATTTTAGAGCTCACAATCGTGGAGATAAAAAAAAGAAGTTACAGACTTTGCAGTGTGCCCTACTAAGTATTTGAGCTCCTATTGAAATAGAAACAGCAATTTTAAAACATGCACTTACTGATATTGTCGTAGCACATGAATTACCACCACTAGTAATAGTTTTTTCCGCCTTATTCTAAAAGTTAATTATAATAACAGAATTAATTAAAGTCTAACATATTAATATTAATTTATAAAATAATACAATAATATATTGAATATGGCTCTAAAGAAAAATAATTGTATTTATATGACAAAAGAATATAAATATATATTTTAAAGCAGCCAATTCAACTTCAAGTTCAAGAAATAATCAAGCTTTTTATCTGTAGTATCTTCCGGTATTGACAATTGTAATAACTGTAACCAAACATTATCCAGCAGTAAAATATTGATGAAAAATATAGTATGTAAAAGCAATATCCCAATATAAATAAAATAGAAAAAAAAATTAATGCATTATAAGCGATAGTTATAATAGATAAATAGATGTGTTGTATTAATCAGAATAATAATAATATCAGTTACCTTTGATAGTTTTTCATAATACACACGTTCTGCATCAGCAAATTTCGATTTATCGAGCCACACTTTTTCTTGAGCTAAAATCTCCAACGACATTTTACCTAAGAAACAATAGTTAAGTTTATAAGAAACATCATAACCTGATGAAATACAAGTAAATATTTAGGTATTTTTAATATGTAAAGGAGTTTATTTCTGTAAAAAGTTATCTTTTTTTATTATAGGTATGCTCAGGTCTGAATATCAGGTGGTGCCTACAGTATTCCTTATTTATTTAGGTCATCTCCTAACATAACAAGTATAGTGAATAAATTGTTATAAATGTATAGGTATTAATTGAATTTTCTTTGATGCAATGTATAATATTAATATAAAATAATCATAATTTAATATAAAAATTTAAAATGACAAACGGCTATTAATTAAATTATTGTTTATTACTAAATCCAAATAAATATTTGAAGCCATTTATTATTTTGTATATAGTAAAATTAATGTTTGCAATTGATTTGGGCCATTTTTAGTGGGTGAAGGTAGGTAATTTCCCAATTATCAATAATGGTCAGTACCAGGGGCGCAACTAGGGGTTTTGGCTGGGAGGCGAGCTCTTTCTGACAACGATTTAGCCCCTCCAAAAATATCCCAAATTGATTTAGACATGTTAAGAAAAATTAATTTTAATCAGTAATTTTTAGTATCAGAGTGAATACTGTCGAATTTATTTAATATAAAATTTAAAAATAAGAATATTATTCAGGGTTTAACACAGGATTTAAATATAAGAATATTAATCAGGGCTTAACATAGAATTTTTATAATTTTATTTTGAAGCAAGTACTAACCATTTTAAAATTGTTGTGTTATGGAATGCTTAGTAAGATGGAGCTAATACATGCAGGTATGACATACTCTTAATCACTTGTTTAAAAAAAATTTGGATTTTATTTAGCAACTACCAACAATAGGTATAATACAAGCCCCGACAAAGGGGCTTTACGTTTAAAGCCTTAATTACGTATTAATAAGGTCGGAAGGTGCCTAGACCTCTCCTCTGACCATGCAACGACCTTCTGTCATCCAATTATTAAATATTCTACTTACTTTTAGGGATTAGTTTGAAAATTGAGGTGAAGAAACTAAAAAAAGTTTTAAGAAACTTGTTTTAAGTCACAAAAAGGCCTAAGACGACACGTTTTTGAAACTCGAGAATTTAAAAAGAATGAATCTAGAAACGTCAATAGCTGAAACGATTTTCTTATCAGCAATTAGAACAAAAACTGTTTCTAAGTTCAGTACGTTGATATGCCGCATGGCCACAGATAATATGTTTAATATATAAATTTGTGCGCATGGCACGCTGGAGCAGACGTGAATGTGTGATATGATATGAACGACGGTGATCCAAATATCAAATTCGTAAATCACAATAGAATTTTAGTACTATAGAATTAATTTACTATTCAAATAATACCATATATTCTTAAATTACAAATTATAACTTTCTCGAGTCTGCTGCTAAAATAATAATCATTATGTTTAGGAGCGTCCATACAGTCTATACTGGACTCAACAAGGTTAAAATTATTTTATTTAACGTTTCATTACTGCTGCAATCATACTTATGAAAAAATTATTTATACAAATCTTTTTAGCTCCAGCATTTGAACTGTAATTTGCAAAATGTGTTAACTATTGGTTGTGTGGGTCAAACACGATGTAGAAGTAATAAACATTACAAACCGGAGTTCAAAAAGTTGAGAAGCCAAAAAGTAAATACACATTATATATTTATATGTAAATTAAAATTTAGAATTTTTATTCAATAAGTTACTGGTAAGTTAGATACCAATAGTATAATGACAAATTTCTGTTACTATTTACGTTTTTCAACAGCAAATTGTACATATAAAATATAATTACAAAGTTGACTCATAATATATTATTGCGTTTTATAGGTTTTAAAAGTGGAATTACCAGATTATGAAAATGAAAAAGTAGATTCTGAGGATTACAGCCCAGAAAAGCTACGTACCAGGTACAAAGAAAAAGGTATACAGCCTACAAGACCGTGGATTGAACGTACCACGTTTATTAACAATACTGGTTCTATCATTGAACCTTATGTTCCACCAGAAGGAGATGGAAAAATTTCACCAATCAGTACAGCAGTTAAGTCTTAATTACTTCATATTAATAACACCTTAATGATATATTTATTATTTTATATAGGGAGCTAAACAAAAAATTGAATTATTGAAAAAGAAAAAAGAAACTTGGCAAGCCATTCGTAAAATAAGACAGAATGAGGAAGAATTTGAATTATATCCTGAATTTATAACAAAAGCACAAGATATTTATCTTAAAGCCCACACAACTATGGTCAAGTTTGTATCAACTATTTTATCAATGACATATTTATAATTATTATAAATCAAATTCATATTAAATTTGAATGTTTTAATATTTTTTAGCAAAGATAAACAAAATCTTCTTCAATATGTTACAGAAAAAGCCTATGTGGTAAGTAGAAACTAACAAATGGTAGTTATCAAACTTAAAACATATTGTTTGTATTAAAGGAAATGCTGCACAATATAGACGGTAAGACATTACGTTGGTCATTCATACAATCGATTGAACCACCTCGTGTAGTTCATGCAAGAGTAACAGATATTATAACTCAGGACAATTTATTTGCACAGATAACTGTACGCTTTCACACAAAACAGGTATATATTTAAAAATATTGTCGTTATTTCAATTTATTACTCACAAACCAATAAGCATAATGATACTTGTATTTATTTTTAGACATTATCAGTTTTTGATCGTTTTGGACGCTTAATCTTTGGTAGTGATGTGGTTGCCAAAGATGTCTTAGAATATGTAGTGTTTGAAAAACACATTGTAAATCAATATGGAATATGGCGGATACACGGAAAAATTATTCCTGATTGGATGCCCCCTAAAGAACCAGCTCCAATAACAAATATATTAAATGTTGAAGCTGAGACAGAAACTGCCTTACAAGCTCAGCCAGACGAAGCTAAATCTAAAATTGTACTTCCAGATGCATAATGAATTATGATAACTGATAAGCATCAAATGTAAAAATAAATCATAAATAAATATATAGATACTTATTATTTAAAATTGTTTATACAAAACCACTTAGTAAAAATATAAAAATATATGATATACATAATATAAATAAACCCACTCCACAATAATACTGAATGTAAAAAAAAAAAAAATACATTTAATAATACTCTTAATATGTATGTAAAATACATTTTCTTAGCGTTAATTAATATTAATATTAGCAAACTTAACATATAACTTCTTTAATACACTTACACAAAACTACTTGTTGGTTGATCTACGTACACAGGTTTTTTAATTTTAGTGTCAACTTTTTTTTTTATTTGATGTTCATTAGTTAAGTTCTTGGGTTTAGGCGGTAAAGGAGGCGGAAGATGTCTAATAAATTTAGCACGGTCATCAGGTATGGGATTTGGCCGTTTAAATTCACCATCATTCAGCAGCGATTTATAAAAGCGAGTTGACTCCCTGTGTCCACCATTACGTTCTGTTAATCTGATTGATTTACGATGTTTTTTATTTGAATCAGTGGTATTATTTTCTTTATTCTAAACATACAAAAAAATTATTATTCATATTTAAAAATATAAAAAAAACCATATTTAATCAAATTATAGTTACCTTTAAAAAGTCTGGCATTTCAAAGTTGATCTCTGTACCTCGTTGATCCTCTAATCTACTTCTTTGAGCTCGCTTTAGGCCCTCGTATAATGCTAAACATTGATAAATAAATAGTAAATATTATTTAAAGTATATTTAAAAATGTATTAGTAATAGTACACAACACCTAGATAATCAATTTTTTTTTTTTTATTAAATAAATAAATTAATATTGATCTTTAAAAAACATCAACAACAGAGGTTACATTTTAAAATTTTTAATATTGATATTTTCGGCTAATTTATCATAAGCTAAGCATACTAGAACTCATAGTTTATTCTCTTCAATATGGTTGATACTATACCAATTCTTTTTTAATTTAATGTAACGGTAACATGGAAATGTGTTTACCTTGAATGAACCATGAAAATATTCAAGTTATTTACAAATATGAACAATGTTCTATGTTCCTATAATAATTTGTGAAGTCATCAAAACTAAAATGGAACATTTAATATTAAAAAAACTACTTAGAGAAGAAACGTAGGTACAGCACTAGTGTTAATCTTCTAGAGTCACACATTCATAAAGTGACAACTAGAAGAAAATTATTGATATTTTCATTCATTCATAGTTAATGTCTAGTTAATTCCTTGGAAACATAATATACAAAATTTGTTAAGTAAGCAGTATATAATTTGAACAGAACATAATATAACTGTAGAATACTATACTACAAATGTTGTTCCCGGTTTATCACACACAACTAGTAATGTTTTTAAAATAACATATTAAAATTAAATCAATTTAAAATCGAAGAACCTACTAAGGGTGGGTTGCATAAACGTCCTGTAGCGCCTTACCAAACTGTTATCGCACCATTTACCATTAAAGGTTATGTAAATAAAACTAAGTGATGCTTGAAAGCCCAATAGTGTTAAATGTTTTTTAAATTATAGATTACTGGACATATAAACTACAGATAGGATTTTGGTTTTGTAACTCAATTCTGAAATCATGGATTTTGTCAATGTTGGTGGTTTAATTTATTTAGTAATCACAGTTATCAATAATTAAATATTTCTTTATGCAACACTAGCATAGTTTAACATAATCATTAACTTAAAAAAATACAGAGCCGGTAACAAATTTACAGACTGTTCTTAATGCAACCCGTCCTTAATATTATAAAATTATTGTTAAACTATAAATAATTACCATCACTTTCAGATTGTTTGTCATTTTGTATTTTTGTAATTGGTTTTAATTTAGCAATAAGTGGTGGAAGTTTACTCAGCGTTTGCTTTTTTTCAGTGATATTAATTTGTTGATCATGTACTACAAATTGTGATTTACAAGTCTTTTTTATTTTCTAAAAAAAAGTTAATTATATAATTAAGCATGATAAATTGTAATAATAATATTCTTACTCTTTGTTTCTCATGAAATATTGAATCTCTTCTTAAAAATCTACTAATCAAGCTAGAAGATTGTTCTGATCCCCATTCTTCAGACTAAAATAAATAAAATATACAATTTGAGTGAATTTGTGTTATTTAATCATATAACATAAATACAATTTTAATTTTGAAATAACTATTTTTTTCAAGGGGAAGGGAGAGGGGTGCATTAGTTTAGTGTTAAGTGTGTTTGTGTAATTTTTTATATAGCAAATAGGTAAACACTATACTCTATTCCAAATAAGTCTGGAAAAGCGTCGCGGTTGGCGCATGTGCAGTATCATTGGCTGCAGTCGGCGCGGCTGACTACTGCGGCCCAATCACAGAGGTTCTACCATTCAGAGGCTGCGCAGTTTTTCCAGACTTATTTGGAATAGAGTATAGATACTAATATCTAAAGAGATATCATTCATATAATGAATACAATTTTTTTTCTTTATTTATTATAATTATTAGTCCAGTTCAGTTATCTTAAGAAATGGGATGAGGTTGTCCATTATATCAGGTCCAAAACTTAATGTTAATTTAATATCCATTATTACAACCAAAATACATGGTAATTCAACAAAAGCTTATGAGGACGTCACACCCGCATGTGTTGTCTCCGTCTTACAAATGTACAATATAGAAAAATTGTTTTGTGTGGGACAACTTTTATCTTTCTGTGTTTGTAGTAGTGGCTCCAATTTTTCTGAACATATAGGGTAAAAATTATCCATGCAACAGCATAGATAACATAAATACAATAAAAGTTATTTGCTTCTGAACATTATATTTATTTTATTTCTTATAAAAAATGATTGGATAGTGCTATTAAAAAAAAATGGAGACAACACATGCGGAGTTACATTTCCATGAATAAAAGGTTCAAATATACTGTTTTTTTTTCAAGGAATATTTTCATATTGTACTTTTAACCAACTAAAATCTTCAAAATATTAAAATACCAAAAATACTCAGAAAAATAAATTTAAAAAAAGGATATTTACTATTTAGTATTTTTGTAGCTGCAAATGAAAAAAATCATATTTTCAATTTAAGATTATAGTGTAAGGTCAATAGTTCCAAATATTCAGAACAAGATATTCTATTTAAAATTTGAATTTATGATATTAAAGTTTATTGTTTATTGTTCTGGATTAGAATTTTTTCTCTTTATTGAGCTTGAGCCCAGCAACTTAGGCCATTAGCTATTTTGTTTGTCGGTTGTTAATAGGGGGAGGAAAGGTTGAAATACATTTGTTATGTGTGGCAAGGGTTAGTTGCTAAAAATCCCGGGTGGTCACCCATCCGAGAGCTAGCAACGCCGGCTGTTACGCACTGCGCCACACCAAGCCACTAGAATAATTTATAGAATTATAATTCAGTATTAAAATATAAAGTAAACACCATGTTTACTAACTTTTATAGATCCTTGATCTGATGGAAGTTTATTCAATTCTGGATTTTTGTTTTGCAGTAAGTCTTCAAATACTTGATTAGTTAATTCATCCAAGTTATCCGGATCTTGTCCATTTTTTAATGTAATATTTTGAGCAAATGATGTCATACTACTGCGAGTCAAAACTTGAATTCTACGACTTTCTACTAGTGAAACGTCCATATCTGGATCAATAACTTCATTTTCACTTATCTGAAATAACAAATTATTATATGTTAAACTTTTTAAATTTATTTTAAAATGTTACCAGTACTCACAGAACACAGTGTCACCAATTCAGTTTTATAACCGTACGAGGACAATATGGGACCTATCTCTTGTCCAATTGTTGAATCTATTTTGCAATCAACATTTATAGTTTTTCTGTCAGGAAGATCTAATCTAAACCATATTCTAGGTTCAACTTTAACATCTAAACCATCCAGAACACATGAACTGCCATTTAAATCAATTATCTGTAAAATAAGAATAGTATAGTGTTTAACCTTCGAGAGGGCGCGGACGGTTTTTACACCGCACATTTGAAACAAATCACGTCCATTCGTTAAAAGTTTCATGCAGCAAACCTATCCATTAGGTAATCTCTAATTTCTTATCTAGTCATAAGATAAGGCAGTTGTTATAATTTTAGTATTTTCGGCATTTTAGCATAAATTCAAAGCGGCTCTAAATAGTGCGGTGTTAATATTTTCGCGTGCCCGCGTATGTAACTGCAAAATGCGCAGCCGCTCGAAGATTAAACAATATTGTTTTATAATATACTTTTTTTATGATTAATATTTACAAAAAAATAAATAATTTGGTGCACAAATTTCTACTGATTCTAAAAATAACTAAATTGTATTGCTTATTCAGTAAAGATTTTTAAAAGTACCATATTAGTTAAAATATATATATATTGATTTTTAAAAAAACAATATTTTTCTATTTTGAATAGGGATGGGCCTAAAAAATAAAAGTTATAATTGATATATTAAAAAATAATGTTTTTGGGCAAAAACTATGAATTGACACTAAAACAAAACTGATATCCAATAAAACCATTATTTAATTTATTAAAAATAATATAAATATATTTTGTATGACAGTTAAATATAATAATAAGGTTAGGTACCTAACTTTGTTAGTGAATACTTAAAATAAATAAGTAAATAATAAAAAAAAATACATTTTTAAATATGCTGGATGGATTTAATTTTTTTTTTTTACACTGTCTTGGTTTGTAAGTCAGTTTCGATTTTAATGTTGAGTATCATGTATACTATTGTATTCAAAATTTTAAAACCCAGGAATAGTAAAAAGTTGTATTTGTAATACATAAAAATTATTTATTTTAGCTATAAACAAAACATTTAAAAATATATACCTGTTCATTGTTGGATTGAATTTTTACTTTGAAATGTTTATAAGGATAACCACGTTTATCAAATAATCTCTGAATAAGAACTTGAACAGTTATATCTGGAGTTACGTG